AGAGAGAGAGAGAGAGAGAGAGAGAGAGAGAGAAAGAAAGAGAGAGAGAGAGAGAGATGGTAGGATTCAGTTTACCCTAAAACAGAACACAGAGAGGGACTGGACTACTACTGCTGGTCTGAACAAAACCACCATATCTGCTCCTTGCCCAGCGCACAGAATTCAAACTGAAACAAATGTAGGGAGTTTCGCTTGGACCAGAGCCCCCCGCCGGTGCTTCCCGCGGCACTAGTGACCTGCGTCGTGGACTGAGCACAGCGCCGCCCAAGTAGCATTCATTAATTATATTATTATTTTTATTACAATTCTCTCCACGGCCGGGCCTCCGCGCGCCCCCAGCTCAGCGTAGCTTCTCCGCCTCAAGGAGAGCAGTTAGGATGTGGTTCACCTGCTGAATAATTAATTTTCCCAATTTCCGCGACCGCTGGCCCCGCCGGCTGTTCCGTAGTATAGGGTCGATAAACACGACCGACCTCGCCATCACAAACGATCCCTGCGGAGCCTCGATGGAGGAGTAGAAGGAGCCGACTACGGCGGTAGCAGTTCCTGTTTTTCTCCCCAGCGACCTGCTGCTCCGAGCAGCGGCGGAGCGCCGAGCTACGCCGAGCGCCCGGCGGAGCCATGGCGCCTGCGGATCGGCCGCCCGCAACCCGCCTCGCAGCCGCGTCGGGCGGCCGGCCCAGCCTCGCGCCCGAGCAGCCACAGCCGCAGCCGCAGCTACCAGCCAACCAGCCAGCCGCTCCTCCGGAGACAAGGAAACGCCACGACACATTTTTGAGCCGACTGTGCGAAATGCGGTGTCCAGTCCAGTGTTAAACGAACGACTGCGTCGTTGGGAGAGTGCGGCTTTGCGCACGCCACTCGCGCCACTCGCGTGTGACAGCGCCCCGCCTCGCTTAGTGGTGTGTGTCGGGTCACACGTTACGAATGCATGCGCCCGTCAGGACGCGAGAGCGCGGCTGCTGCTCTGGGCTCATCCCCCCCCCCCTTCCTTCCTCACCTCCTCCCCACTCCCATCCTCAAAGTTTTCGGTCATTCTCACCTCGACGATTCCTTTAATATTCCCTTTAAGCATGTATCTCGCAGGAAGGTATCGATATCCGTGAGTTGCGAACCTCTACACAAGTAATACCTGTGTAATTTGAATTAATTTGCAAACAAGTTTACCAGGAGAAAATCATAATCGGCACAGTTGCAGATTCAGTCAAATAAAACCAAATCATTGTGAAAAATTTACAACATTAGTATGTTGCAATTATTAATTACAAAATATGTCGTAATTTGCGACAGCCAATTCTTTCTTATTTATCTATCGTAGTCCCAAGTCGATGTGAAGTGCTTGTAAATTTACAATTTCACATTGTGATTTTACGATGCAAATCATGAAACGTTCTCCCGTCAACCGGCGACTATTTTTCGCGGTGATGGATCTCAAACATTTCGTTAATAAAAGATTTCTATGCAACAGGGTACATGTAGCAGCGCAGTAAAACTGTGCAATAAGTAATGTGTAGCCGTTTTTATGCTTTTGCGGAATTCCTCCGCCACCACTCTCGCTTTTATTATTCCGTGGTTTTCCTGTGTGTATATGACGCCCGCAGGAAGTTTACCCGCGCGCGCGTCGCACTCGCCGCCCCGCGCTACGACGGCTCCCCCTCGCCACCCCCTCGCCACCGCCCTCTTCAAGTACGCATGGCGAGTCAGCGGAGCGCAAAGCAGAGCGGCAACGCGCCCTCGTGTCGTGGCGTAGCAAGGCGGGGCCGCCTGTCTACGCCTTGAAAGCGGGGAGTCACAATCCCACAAAGTCCCTCTGCTTGCTCTGCCCTCCCTCCCCCTCCCCCGCTCACCGCTGCCGTCCATTCATATAGCCTATGGCGTGGCGTGGCGTGGCGTAGCGCCCTCGCGGAGATGCCTCGCCGTGCCCTTATGCCCTCGCCATATACACCTATGACATACAGCGGCGGGAGGCTACAAACTTGCCGGTCGCGGAGCAGAGAGGGAGGGGAGGGCGAAAGGGCGGTGGGGAGGGGTCGCATGCCCTTTGGCCCTATTCAGTCAGTGCACAAGTCTTGGCCCCGGGCCGGGGTGGGCCGGGGTGGGGCGGGGTGGTGCTGGGGCGGGCGAGGTGGGGTGAGTCGAGTTATCTCCTCAGCCGGGAGGACATTTTGTGAGGGCCCATACCGACCGCGCCCAGCCCGCCCCACCGCGCGCCGCTCACCAAGTGAAAGGGGGCGGACGGGAGGGGGACAGTGGGCCGCCGGGGCTCATGGGGCCGTCACGTGGCCGTCACTTTGCGTGACGTGGACGTGACGAGCCTGGAGTGGGCCGCACACACACATGTGTGTTTAAAAGCGTCGACGGTAAACTGAGAGTA